GTGAGAAATGGAAACTCTGTTCCTCTTCTGCCTTTTATCGTCTTTGGCTATTAGTTACATTGTGGATGTCACTGATTTCTGAATGGAAAGATGCTTTCCTCTGTACAGTTTGGGATACGCAGAAAAGTGGCCACTGAGGTTCCATAGAAGTTGGTTCTGAAGAATAGAAAAGGTCTCTGCTTTCTATAGAAAAGAAAGTTTTTCTATTAATAGAAAATTAATTTTCTATTAATAGTGTGGGGGATTTTTTATTTTTGGATTTGTTTTGGTTTTCTTCTATGAATCCTATTATTATTTGCTCCAGAGGAAGTTCCAAAATAAATGCTTTATACAGAAATCATTGTGTACAAGTGGGAATGCAAGCTGCATCACTAGCTAACTTCTGTAAAAGTATTGTTGTCTACTGATTTTTAAAAAAAGCTACTATTATTAAAGGCAGAACTGGCAGTGCATGATAAAATGGTCCAATACTTGCTCTCATTATGATTAATTTCCCATTTGCTTTAACAGATTTTAAGCATTTGGCAGAGATTTCATAGAGTAGGTGTCTGCCACTAACCGAAGTTTTCGAAATTTCTCAGGCAAAATGTTCTGTATTTTGGGGGGAAAATCTGGAGTATAAAAATGTACTGTTTGTGTCACAATAACAAAATTGGAATTTCTTCTGTTATAAGTCTAGCTTTGGATTAGTCACTTGAAATTTTGCTGGCAAATAGAAAAATGTTTTTTGTGTAATTTCTATTGGTCCCATGAAATCTGGGTCCCATCAAAATTTGTCTGAGGTAAAGCCTTGGAAAAATGATAAGCAGTGTCTCCCTGATTAAATTTTTAAAAGTTTCTGTGCACACTTACTGAAAAAATCAGCTGAACTTGCATGCTCTGTGGCTGCAGCTCTGAGACAAGCCAAAACTTTCCTCTCTAATAGAAAACAGGAAGCTTCCTTTCTTTTTTCTTTAATTAGTGATGGGAAAAGGACGCTGTAGGCTTTTAGAAGACCAGCATTTTGGCTGCAGATCTAAACACCCAGAAGTGAAAAAATACCTTCAGATGACAGAACAATGGTGCACAACCTGCACAGTCCTCTGCCCCATTTCATCCAGTTGTGGCATTATGGTGGCTCTTAATGACACATTCACACTGTGAGCTGGATGAGACCCTTCCTCAGGGCACAGGGTGTCGTAGCTCTGGGAATGAATCAGCACTAATGCATCTAGGAGTCTGCTGTCTTCAGACCACTGCTCTATCTTTGTCCAAAAGCTGAGAAACATAAGGAGACTGAGGCTGGCATTCATAGGGAGAGAAACGGGAGTCCTCATGTGAATGTTTCCCAGAAAAATAGATTTTACCTCTCCATCTGCTGCATAGTTTCTTTGTGGTGCTACCCAAATCATTTAAATTGAACTTTTCACCAGGGTCACTAAGTGCATGCTCTTTATTCTCTGGGTACTTGACTTGAGACCTGAGGTCTGATTACCAAGGGAGCTGAACATTTACAGCTGCAGTTGATGTCAATAGCATCTGTGCTTTCAGCCTGTTAAGAGTTATTCAGAGATAAGTATATGGAATGCAGGATCTCAGATGTTTTGATTTTGACAGCAAGTATGAGTTATTTTTGCCAAGTTACTTTTGATTGGTGTGGCTACCTCTACACTGTCTTGTGAAAGCTGAGACCACATCTACCAACTTTCTCATCACAGAAATGCCTAGCTAAGCCTAAAGCCACCTGAAGCAGCTCCAACACTACATGTCAGAGCAGTTCACACCACCCCTGATCTTAGGCTAGCATTGTAATGTCTTTCTTTTATGAATATTTACGCAACTGTCTCTTGAAAAAATCCCACATGGCAGCTATCAAGTGTGGGTATTGGTATCTGAGAAACATACAACAGCTTTCTTTCTAGCCCACCCATCTCTTATCCTCTGAAAATCATTTAGGCAAACAGAATAGCAGTATTTAAATGTTTTGACATTCAGAAATTTGGGTTAGATTTAGACTTAGGATGAGGCTTCCATCAGCTGAAGAACAGGGGGAAGATCTGGTCTGGTAGACCCTGTACTGATTTTGAGAACTGGTGCTTGCAAAGGGCTGCCTAAATACTTTCACATAAGAAGGATATCACCTTGAAAGCAGCATAAGGAGTCAAAAAAATAAAAAGTCTTATGTAACTAAAAGTCCTACTTAAAGAAAATACACTTGAACTATCACCTACTAGACAGGGTGAGAACATTTTTTTAACTTAGCCCTTTTTCTTAGAAGCCAAACTGGGTAAATACGAAAATAAATACTGTAACTCTGTCACAGTCTTCCAAATAAAGTTGTCGAGTTAGAATTCTTCCAAGAGAATAAAAGAAGAAAACATTCTCAATACACAGTCACATTCAACGCTAAGCTAAGCAAAATCAGAGGCACTTTACCATTCACATCATTTTTGGGGTATCATGTTTTGGTCGGTGGATGAGTTTTGAAAAAATCTTTACAGAAAATGAAAATGTCATAGTTCACTCAGTCCCTAGATATGAACATTCGTGGAGGTTAGTGCTTCCTCACAAGTTATCTACCAAATAAACCATCTTTTCCCAAGTTTCACTTTCAATGCACTGAACCAAAGAACGTCTAAACCAGTTCTGATGGTTTCCAATTAGTTCTGCAATGCAACAAAATAGTGAATTATCGATGTTTGGATGAATTCTCGAATATTCCGATACTAAAATCTGTCTGCGTTTAGAGTTACTCAGATAGTTACCACACTTGTTAAAATTAAAATATAATTGTAAATAATGTAACCAAGGGATATATCAGTACTGTTCTTCCATGAAGGATGAACAATTCATAGTTAGATCCAGACGAATGAATCAAGACAAGCGGGGGGGAACACGACATTATTGGAGCAGTGGAGACAATTCATCTGCTCTCGCAGTTTATTATATACTTGCCTGGGATCTCTCTTGCCAAACTTTATCAGTGTGAAAAGTACAAAAAAAGAACCATAAAGGGAATGAAGTTTAATAACATGCATGTATCAGGTTACCTTTTGTAAATGGGCATTGATCCTGACGCTACTTCCGTCTGACCTGATAAACAAATCCCCTAGAAACAAATCTACAAGAAGAAAAACTAGTTCCCTATACCAGCATTCAGTAAGGAAGCTTTAAAAGAGAAAATGCTACTGCTAAGCCTAGTATTAGTTAATCAAGTTCTTGTTGAAAATTTCATTTAATTGCATATGAGAAGGATGAGACCTACTGGAAGCTGGTAAATCTTCACCTGGCTACCTTGGTAAGTTTAATCATACATATCAGTTTTTCTGCATGTGTATGGTATATTTCTGCACTTTTTATAAAAATGTATTCTATTTATGAATATTTTGCTGCTGAGAGATTCTACTCATAGAAGTAACTTGTAAGTACTCATAAAGAAACTCATGTTTTGACTTCCAAAAAAAAACTCGGTAAATTGAAAAGCAAAAAAAGGTCATATTTTTAATACAAGACCTCCATGCAAAGATGTTTTTCATCTTTTCTTCTTCTGCAACAGAACTTTATTCACATGAGTATCTAGAAGCACCATGCCTAGTTGCAAAATTCTGCATGGAAAAGAGGTGATTAGTATAAAAAAAAAAAAAGGAATCAAAAAATTACAGAGAAAGTCTGGCCAAACCATGATCAGTTAGATGTGACTGCACTTCACAAAATGTCTTGAAAGATTAAAAAGCAATAAAAGCAAAAGTCACAGCAATAGTATGCAATCATATCTTTGCTTAAAGTGGAAAACAGTAACAATTTCCCATTATTGTCATTCATGATATATATTGAATATGATTTTTACTGCTTGTCCATTTGAATAAACATATGTGTTAATTAGCCTTTATCTATTACAGAGAAATGAATAGATGCTAATGTATTTGCAGCTATTTGCTATAGTCATGAAAGAAGCAATTTCCATCATAAAGATGTGGGTTTTGGTCCTGTAAACCTCTGAATTATTGTTTTCTAATGGTTGAAGAGTTTGTAAAAAGCAATACTTTGAACTAGCAAACTTGATGAAATAGTTTGTTTCTAATCACATTATAAACTAATCTGATGGTACTGTATAGTTAGACAAAAGTCATATTCAACGTGACATTCAATAGCTCAAGAAAAAAAGTCAGCATATTTTTTAATAAACTCATTCTCATAAATAAAAGTGCCCAGAAGAAGCCAGCAGTCATCAACGGATTTAAGATTCCTCTTAGCAAACAAAGAAGCTGAATTAAAGAATAGCTTGAAGAGGTTGAATTAATAACCTTCAGTTATAACTCGAAATGTCAGTCCAGTTATAGAGAGGCTAGTCATAAAAATACCTTAATATAGAGCTTCATGAATCACAGAACATAAGATTATTTACTGATCAATCAACAGATAAGTTACTTCGATAAATTGTTCTCTTCAATATTTGACTACAATGTCTACAAAATGTTTACTACAAAATACTTTTACTGCTGAAAAGAAAATGATTAGACTCACCTTACATAACTGCTAAATTGTATTTGCTTAAGCATTTAGCAAGTGATTAGTATTTGTACATAAACGATTTTGCAAGTAGGAGTCCTGAGAGCTAGTGACTTCCTTTTGACACAATCTCACTTATTGATGGGGGAGTGGCAACAGGCAATTAGGCAGCTGCAGTACCAGATGAGCAGAGTTCCTAATTACATAATTCGCCTTTACCATCCAATTAGTTCTGCTGACTGATGCTGACACTGCATGCACACTCAAAGTTAGTGGCTGTTTAAACACCTTGTGGAAACTGGATCCCGAAGCTGTTGAAACTTGCATTTAAGCAGGTTCCAAGTGCAGGCAATTGTTTCTGTACTAGTGTACGTATCTACGTTGTCTAGATTTTTTTTTTTCTATTTGCATATTTTCATACACAAAAACTTATACCACAAGTTTCTAAGAACCTTTTCTGATCACGCTTCCTAGGTATACACAGCTATAAATCTTCATGCTGCAAATAAACCATGCAACAGCCAAGCTCTGATTATTCTCCAGATGTGCTCAGGGAAACCTGTGTCAGGGCAGAACTTCTAAACAGGGAAGATGAGCTTCATAAAGCAAACATTGCTTTGTCTGGAAGCAGCAGCCCAGATGTCTTCAGCTCCTGCGAAACGCAGGCAGTATCAGTTTGTATGGACACTACCATGCCTCCAGGTGACAACATTCAAAGACAAGGCTATAAAGAGCCTTCACTTCTGAAGCCTCCTGCACAGGAATGCACTGGGAGCCATCATGCACCTTTCCAGTTTGACCGGCATGCTTTGGCCAGAATTTCCACTTCTCCAACTTTAAGGCGTCTAAGGATGGCCTCTGCCTCACAAGCATTGTCATTTCAGGACTGCTCTGACACAGCTCACCTGGGGAATCAAAAGGAATACACTGGCTCTCTTCACCATATTTGTAAGAGTCCACTTCGGTGCACTACAGCTTCCTCATTGTCGTTGCCTTCTTGTGTCCATGCAAAGTTACTGTCTTCCAAAGCCAAGTCGGAGACAACTACAGCAGATCCAGAGTCTGCCAGCCCAAGATCCAAACTGCTAAGGGAAAAAGATCCTCTCGGCAGCCCCAGTGAGACACTCCAAAACTCTTGGAGAACCAACTCTGCTACACTGCCTGTGAGACTACCCCGCCCCAGCCCTACACCACAAGAGGGTATTCAGGTAAGAGGAATAGGATGGTGCAACCTCCTTTTCAGTCTTGTATATTCAGCATTGGTCCATCATGACCCAATGAGTAAACAAAACCACAGTTCTTAGCCCGAACTGCAACCTGGCCCTAGACCCTTTGAGTTCTGGTTTGGGTTTTACAAGATCATTTTATTTCCAGTGTCCTTCACTTGGGTTGTTCCTCAGCCAGGGCAGTTCCTCTACTTTGTTTTACTGAATAGTATTACAAACCCCAGCCAAACCAAGTATGAAGTCATCCAAGACGGTTGAGCCAAATTTAACTTTTCCTACCACCAAAGGAAGAGGTGCCATTCCCTTTCTTTCCTTCCACTTGTCTAGCTCTGCCACTCACTAGCCCCCTCCATTTTTATGTTCAGCTTCATAAAGGAGCAGGCAATTGTGCAATCTTTTCTGAAAAAAGAAACACTGGTCCCATGAGTGCCAGTATCAGCAAAGAGAAATAAGCAAGTGGGGAGCTAGCCCTCCATCTTTCTCTGGTGGCAAACTACCATTCGACTATCCCCCATAACTACACCCCAAGCAGAAAAGGAGAGGAGCTGCATAAACCAGGTTTACTACTACACCTGCTCTCAAAGACCCTTCATTACTTGCACAAGCAGCTAAATTCGGACACATGCTTGACTCACATCCTTACCCAAAACACCTACACACACATTTCACTGAACATGGATGGTGTCAAATCCAGTTAGTTTTGTGCCACAGACCAAAAGATATTTTTGCCTCCCTTCAAATATAGGAAACATTCTGAATACCAAGCAAGTTGTTCTTTCTACACAACAGTGAAAATAATTAGCCAACATCTAAGTCTATGTAGTACACTTCTCGTAACGAATGAGTACTTTTTTTCACAAAATCAGACTGCTTGCTTGATTTCTGACCAAGTAACAAGAATATCTCACTTTCTTTCAGAGTGGATTGCCTATACAAAGGTATGCATATATTTGTTTTATATTATTCTAAGCTTCATTTCTGTACATTTTTAATGAATCTGCTTCACTCTAAACCAAAACTGAACAGCAAGGCATGTACAAGTAATTCCACTTTATTTTGTAGATTTGCTTTGTGAAATGCCTGTCACCAGCTTGTTAAACTAAACTTTTAAATGAGTTTTTTCTTTCAAAGGCAGCCCTCTCCCTGACACATTTAGCTACTTTTCAGGCAATATTTCAGCTGGAACGCAGAGCTCTGCAGTAGTAACTAATTGCCGAAAGGTCTAGCTATTTGGATTAGCAGTGTCAAATATCAGCTTGAAGAATTTGAAACATCTCATAATCTTCAGTGACATTCTTCAAAACTTTGTGGGAGGGAAAAGGGAGCAAAGGAGCTAGCAGAACAGCTCGATATTGTTCTCATACGTGAGCAAAGCAGATCTAGGACTGCTACTGGATGGGGGGATTGTTAATACTACAAACTAAGAATACTTAAATTTTGTAAGTTAGTGCAGGCAAGAAAAGGTGTTGTGTACTGTAGAACTGTGGAGGGAATTGAACCAAGCTCTTACAAGCAACAATCAAAAAGTAAAATCTTCATTAGAAATTATCTTGTTTCAGCCACATTTATTTCCTTAACATGTTCAAATGTTTACAAAAGGGAAATGAAGTGTTTTTGCCCCCAAACAAAAAGAAAGTAAGAGATAGACAGGTACAGTTAAGGGAGGTACTCACTGACAGCAGAGAGAAATACGAGCCCACTCTTCAGAATGTTGAATTTACAGTAGAAAATGGAGACGGAGATGGAAAGAGGAGAGAAGGGAGAGATCTTAGCATCTCGATGTGAAAACAGGTGGCCTGCACCTATTATGGGAAGAGTTTGCACTGATCCAACTCATAAATGTAACACATAGGTACATCTTACTGACAGGATGAAGATTTGTATGATCTGTAGTGAACTTCAGGGGAGATTTTGAAGAATACAGAATGCAAACAGCTAAACAGGAGAACATTGAAGATTTAATGTACGTACCTTCTCTTGATGCCACTTGCCTGGCAGCTTCAGAGGGAAGCCACTATATGCCAGCTAGGATATTGGTTTTGGACTTCTATCCAGACCCATTTTAAAAATCAAGAAATCACACAGGGAACAATGCAAGTTTGTTCCAAGCTACCAGAGGAAAGACTGAAAAAGGGATGTCTGGATGATGTATTATGATTTTAGTTCCTGTCCTGACCAATATTAGAATGTGCAGAAATGCAAAACAAAAATCACCAGTTTCTGCTTTAAACTTCTTTGTCAGGCTGAATTTGGTCCAAGGTCAGGGCAAGGGCTGTATTCAGCTCCTCGTTTATCCAAATCATTAATCTAACTCCTTAACAGCTAATCCCATCTTATCACAGTCAGAGAAAACTGTCGAAATGTCAGATTATTCTTTCCCTCTAGAAGTGCATTCGGAGAGTTGCCATCCTCCTCCAAGACTGACTTATATATCGTCCAGGGTAAAAAAGTACCTCCGTCCCTCAGGTTTAATGATCATGTCTTCTCCCCACTCCCAGGCGGTACTTTCAAAAGCCTTTCTTAAAGCAGCAATACTCATTTTAAGCAAGAGTGCCCCACACAGCCCTTAGTCAGGAAAAGGAATGCCAGTACATCTCTGTCAGCATGGCAACATGCTGAACTTCTGCTGATTTAAAATAATCAGCCAAAATAAATAAACAATAAGGGTGAGAGGAGCAGCACAGAAAGAGGTGTGTTTGGTGGACACAAGGTGAGATGCTAAAGCCAACACTCAGGTGCCTGAGTTCATCCCTAAAGTACAAACATTTCTTTCACTCAAGCACTTCAGTCCGTTATCCCTGGTAAGAAAAAAATAAAGCAAAAGGAAAAGCTACAGGGTCTGCAGGCATGAAAAAATGGTAAAATATTGAATACAGACTCAAAAACTGATAAATTGCAGTGCTTCAGTGGTTTCATGTCTCCAGCAAAACCAAAAAAAGCATCTAATGCATCTAATATATCTACAGGCATCAGGCCAGGTGATCGCAGATACCTGTACCTTCATCTGTGAAGCATGAGTACACAGTTTAGGCATGTAAGTCATTAATCAGACCAGGCATGTCAGATTGCAAAGGTATATTGTAGATACACATCCAAGTGACCTTGGCATGCTCCCACACATCACAAATTTTCATACCGGTGTGAAGGGCTTGTTTAGACATACGTGTCTCTGAAGTTCAAGGCCTTTTTGATCTAGGGAAATAGCACCATTAAACTCAGTTACTGTGAAACTGTGCTTCCCATTACTAACCTTCATAAGCCACTAGCCTCCAGCTTCAAAATATATTCTGCAATTGATGTAAGCTTGACACTTTAAAAATCATACATTACACATTCTAAACTCCTCAACACTTAGTTTTCAAGCCCCAATATGCCTGTGTTTCAAGTGTTAAAGTCCCAGACCTGGCCTTCCAGACAGCCTACAGCCCTCTGTTGCTAGGAGCAGTCTTTCCTTTCATCTGTACAATTCAATTGGTTTAGCTAAGGCAATTGCAAGCAATGTCACTGTCAGATCATAGCAAAAAGCATAATATCCATGTTCTGCTATACAGATCAAAACCCAGTTCTCTACCTCAGAGCTCATCTGCCAGTTGATAAGTTGTCAAGTGACTATTCATGCACTTAGGGGAAAAAATACACCTGCCAGGTTTCACACCAGGTGTTAGCAAATGGTTAAACATTCACAGTAATGTGTCTCCCTAGGCAAAAATGTAGTAAGAACTGTACTTAACTGACCAAAAATACCACGCACAATAAACGGTGACTAAAAAAGAGAATTTTTATATATGCACAAATACTTCGTGCCTTCTTCCTCAGCTACGTACTTACTGACCCTTTGAAGTCTGATGCAGTTTTCATGCATCAATCAGTTGAAGACAGCAGAACAGAAGCTACAGACACCCATCACTTTGCAACAGTACACTAACACAACCAATTAGGTATCAGTGTGAGTTATTGGCAAAATCCAGAAAGATTTTTGATATGCACCAATAATTCCCATATTTGAATGCAAGCAGCCTCTGGCACAAACACGCTGTTGGATACAGAACGCCTGTGTCACTTCACTTGATGGATCTACATCCTGGACAACGCCCTCGATTAGTAAGAACGATAGTTTGAAAGAGCCATTTGTTTTCAATCAGCAGGGCCACTAAGTCATATTATATTCAAAAGACAAAATATTTGAATTAGCAGAAAAAGTGCCATAAGGATCTAGAAAGAAAATAGCACAAACTATCCAAAAGATTAAACATTAACAAAAAAAAAAAACCACCACCAAAATCTTAACATTTTAACTGTTTCAGTAATGTGTTGTCTTTTCTTGAAATCACCTGAGTTACATGCAGGTTAAAAGCAGTGACAGCCCACATATCAGCTAGGGACATGGTATTTAACTGCTCCTTTGGACTCCAATGCCAAAACATAGATTCTGAAGCCTCCGCTCACTTTTTGCCTACACTCAGAAGAACCCAGGAATTTCCAGTATTTAAAGTCTCTGAGTCAAACCACGGCCATAAGACCTTGACGTCAGCAACAATGCGGAGTTGGAATGATAATTAGATATTTGCTGTTGATCACTGAAATTTTCTCTTCATTGTTCCTTTAACACATTATGTCATGGAGGCTGTGATTTGGTTTTTTAGCTTGTTTCCTCCTGTATGAGCAAGGAGCACTTCAGAAGTTTCCTCTGCAGCCACAAGTGGAGAGAGATGATGTGTGTTGTTGTTGCATCTCACAGATCAGCAGAGCGCAGGCGTAGCTCCGTGGTAGTGAGTCTGCCGGGACTCGAGGTGTTCCCTGGAGACCTCCTGGTGTCAGACCGTGCCATGGACTACCTGGCCCACGCAGCCCTGCTGCTAAGCGCAGGTCAGACACGGGGTGGGGCTTGCTCTTCTGAGCCCAGCAAAAGCCACAACTGAAACATGTGTGCATGTGGGATGGGGAGGGAGGATTGGTGCAACAATGACACGCAAGGCAGCACAGCCTCCCTGAAGGACTGCTACCCCACACTAAAGTGACTGCATCGTTACTTTTAAAGTTCCCCTCAATTTATGCTTTTTTGCCTGCAGTTTATTGTTGAATGCAAAATGTAAGAGGTAGCTAAGGGGGGCAGGACATGGATCACCTGCCTCCTCCACAGGCTAGGAGTAACCAGAGCCCAGGCCAGGATCTCCATCTGCAAGCAGTTGTTACGAATTCCTACCTGCACAGCTTCAAGCAGAGGGAAGAGAGTGGCCCATGCCACCCCTTCCAGTAGTGCTCTAATCACAACAGTAGCAGACCCAACTCGTGGCTAGAAGTTGCTCTCAATACCTTCACGCACTGAAATGTAGACCTGCAAGCAATTTCCACAAGCATCTATTATGGAGTATAGTATAGTGTGCAGTGTGATTGCCATACACCAGAAGATGCTGGTGACCAGAGACCAAAATTTTCTCAAAAAATAAATAAGTCAAGGTCACAACTGGTAGTTTCACAAAAGCAAACAAGCCAGCCATCCCCAGAAAATTCTGGAATCAACACTTTCAAAGCCTAAAAGGAGAAAGCGTCAACTGCAGTTCCCAGTCATACACAGGCCTGAATCTAGGTGCCACACATAGAAAACCCTTTCAAATTTCTTGCTGAACACACACAGGCATTCCTCACTTCTCATCAGTGCATTCCTACATCTAGATCCCCAGCTTTCTCTGTGCCTTGCTAGGGACCATGAATTACAGCCTGCACCACTGTGCCAGCCCCATGACAGATCTGAGACTTAGGGTTCATAGGACTGTTCATTCACAGGAGTTTTAAATACCTGCATAGCTCCAAAATACCACTAAGGTGCAGACATAGCCTAATTTTTGCTTCAAAATAACAGATATCTTGAAGAATTGGCCTGAGGTACAATGTGTTTTCACATGTAAAGAACTGGCAATCACATACTGATCATCTGCAGCAAGTGGGAGTGTTTAGCATCGTCCAAGATCCCACCACAGATAGATATAATTCTTGCTGTAGGAATCCAACAGGCTGAATAGGTTTCAAGTCTGGTGAACAAATTGCCTAAACACAAGTATTAAATCTGAGTCAAGTAGAGTATAGTATATCAAGCTCCATCTAAAAAACAAACAAACAAAAAAACCCATAAATAACAGTTTTATTTTTAGCAATTTGTATCTTTACTGATAACACATCTGTTTTACCCATTAGAGTCCAAAAAGCCAAGGTGGCCATTTGCCAGAAGAGGACTTGTGAGTATTTCACCACGTTTTTCTCCTTGCACTGACCTTGCTTTCTCCCACAACTAACCTGGGTAAGGTAACCTGCCCTTGGAGAAAGGCAGTCAGCAGGTGAGCCGAACTCAGAGGTCTCGGGCCACCCTGGGACTGACTGGACATTAATCCACAAAGAAAGTAGGGTGGCTCCAGTGCAGCCACCAGTGCTGTTGCACTGATGCACATGAAAGCCACTGCTCCCCATCCTCATGGGTGGTGGGAGGAGAGGTGCTGACGGCACCGGGAGGGCAGAGTGGGGCGGGCAACATGGGAGGTCTCATTCAAGCTGTTCGATGGTGGCAGCAGGCCCAAGTGCAGCTCCCCAGTGTAAGAGAGCAAAAGGTGGGTAAGCAAGTCGCATTATTGCTTTGACCACACTCTATTCTGTATTTTCTTCACGCCAACCTAGACTTTAGTGCCTGAGGGCTCTGGAGTATCTGTCCAACTCCCACTCACATGGAAGGGATTTAGCTTTTTTTAGATGCTTTCTTTGGCTCTAACACATTTCATTGTCTTTTCCAGTTATGAGAATTTTCACTTACTAAGGTATCTGAATTTCCTTTTGGAGGTTCATCATTAAAAAAATTATTCGCAAATGTCTTGATAACTTTGCACCCCCAAACAATTAATTGTGAACAGTCCTTTCCTAATATTTTTATCATTTTATCTTCTAAATCTCGACTATCAAAGAAGCGTTAGTCCAAGTGAAACCAATGCAAGTATTCAGATTAGCACGTACAAGAGCTCCCACTTCATTTGATAGCATTTCTACAGCATTTGAAGAAGCATGGCCTAAAACTGAGAATATTAAATTCAGCAAAATATCTGAAATTTGCAATAAAATGCATTCGATATTCAGCCAAAAGTGATTTCTGAGACTATTAAATGCCATAAAATTTAATTATGAAGATTTATTTGCTGGTGCATCTGTTAAGTATGTATACATATAGTTGCATTATTTTCTCTGCTCCGTTTCAATCTATCTTTCAAATCTCAGAGCTGAGCTTAAACTCTGAATTCCAAATATTATAATCAAACACGTATTTCAAAATTGGCTCAAGTTCAGTGCCTAAAGTTCAGACAACAGAAATCCATGAAGTATGAGAATACAGTTCCAGAGAGCAGATAAAACTTAGGCAAACGCCTTATAAGGCTCACAGTCTATGCTCACAGCACTAAATTAGAATTCTTAAATATTGGTTAAACTTTTTACACAGCACTGTCAGCCTGAGAAACAAAGCCAAAGCAAAAGCAATTGTTTTTATTTCATGATCCCTCACATAGAAAGCTTGAAGAGCAGGAGGAGTTTAAAAGCTCATTTTATAGACACTACTCTGCAGCTGACAAAATGAGTGTTTTCAATATGTAACTCAAAAAATTTAAAAAATAATAAACAAACATGCAAGATTTGTATACCTATGGCAGGAGAATGATTTCAACTATGAGAAAGGACTTTGTTGTCCCCTGCTTCTGACAATGCTGAAGGAAGCAAAATAATTGCTTCTGTTTACTGAGGGCTGGCCACTGTCTGTTGCCATACCAATGATTTGCCCTGCCAAAGACTGCTATGTTACATAAATAAGATCTTACACACTCCACCCATAGCTACAAATAAACCTACCATCACTGCCTCATCTCTGTGTAGGGGAGCCTGGAAATATGAGGAAATCAGAGTTGAGGGCAAGCTCCTTATAGATCAGAACAAGGCTACTGAGCTGGGCAAACTTCTTGTTGGTCTGTAAAACACTGTATGAATCTGGGGTGGTTTTTGTCATTCAACAGGGTAAAGACAAACAGAAGCAAGCATCTGATCTGGAAAACTGTCTTTCAACTGTGAATATCGCAGATTGCAACACGTATGATTTTTTCTGCTTTAAGGTATCAAAATACTCAGTATACTGTACCAAGGATACTTAAAGATAGGGATAAAAATTGTGTGTTCTTTTCAAGTTACCATTTTTCACTAAATTAATCTGGATATGAGACCGTTCTGCAAAATTAACGCATAAGCATAAGGTATATGTTTGCTGTTTGAAATGGAGGGGTGAGGGGGAAACTGTGAGTGTTGTACGTGGTTAGCAAGGGCCCTCATAGCCACCCCGGTTTTGCCAGACTTCTAGACTGCCCTAGATCAAGGAGGTACCACCTTCAGAAAAAGGTATCAAGACAACCCTCTCAGCAGTGCCTGCAGATCTGAGGAGAGGCGCTGCAGCATCACAGAGATGCCAAATGGGACATGGCCACCCCCATTGCTGCCTTAAGGGTGCATTCAGGGGTAGCCATGGAGAGGTCAGTGCTAACACCAAGGTTCAGCTGCAGAAATCGCACCAAAACCTGTCTGCCAGATAAACAAGGCTCCTGGCCTCCAGGGCCCCCTAACCATAGAAACACCAAGCTTGGGCTACCAGGGTGATGCTCAGATAACCCACACCTAACACCATCCTTCCTCCAAAGCAAACCTTTTGCTTCTCACAGCAGGCTGTTACACACAATTCCCCGTAGACTGGGTTGTTGGGGACTTCTGTCAGTGCCTAACTTATATGTGAACCTCTGACCTTGGAGTAGGTCAGTAAGGTGATAGTGGCCACCTTAGGACTAAACAAAACAATATCCAAGTACCTGTGAAGATGTAGTTTTTTGGTACCTTAATCTTACCATCTAGAAAATAGGAAAATATCATCCATCACTGCTTTCCCGCAGCAGCATGACAGATTAAATCCCTTAGTATTTGCATGCTGCCCACTATTATTTGATACAGCATCCTACCAACATAGAGTATCCTACTGCATTACTTTCAATTCAGTGTGTTTATACTATAAATGATTTGGAGGAAAATGTCAGGATTTTTATTCTTTTTAAAGGAATCATTAAGCTTTCAGAATAATCACTAATACAGCTACGGTCTTTACATGGGCGAATAGATCATAGGTTCTTTTCATAAGATCTGAAGCAGCTGATGCAACAGTCAATGGTTTTCTTTCTTCTTCAATCAATAGAGCAAATCTTGGCATGAATTTATAAATGCACAACAAACTGAGCAGAAAGATGCCGACAGCCAGTTAGAAGTGAAAAAAGAAGCAGCAGTGTGGGAACTTTTCACAAGTGAATGCACTTACTTTCAGGATCATTTGCTGGTTCTCAAGATGGTAACTTCAGATCTCATATCTCAAGAATAATGAAACATTATTTGCCCTGCTGTCAGCATGGCAGCCATAAAACTGCCTGCAAACTCTCATTGGGTGTCTACAGGGGAATGACTTGAGAGCTTGTTTTTTCTCCTGTCTTGCATGCTCATCCTATTTCTACAATTCCCTTTGATTTTTATCTTCCTGAGAGCATCTCTACTTCTACACAGCACTTTCTAGTGCTTTGTAAAAACCTTCTGATTGCAGATCCTTCCAGTAACTTCAGCTGATATTCCACTATTCTTCTCACTACCTCTGAACTGAAGCCACTCTCCAACTGACTACACTGGATATTTCTCTACCACTAGTCTGTAACATTATACTCTTCGTTTAACTTCTTATGAAGCTGTGGTTAGATCATCCTGATTAGAGTATGAAAGCCCCAAAAATCATCAGACCTGTAGTTCTAATATTACAAGAAAATAAGCAACCTAAAAAACAGCTCCTCTCCCATAACCTCCAGATTGCCTCCAACCAGGTGAATTTTAAGAGCTTTGAAATATGGACAAGAATACTACACAATGTTACAAGAATAGCGGCACTATTTATATTCATCACACATCAAAAGTCAGTAAACCCATTGAAGAGGATGGAAGCTTCCCTAAATATCTTCCTATCATTTTTCTCTTATTCTGCACAGACAATTTCTGGCTTTGTATTAGTCAAAGGAAAAAGGTTAGTGAAACATTCACCACGTTGCTGAAAAGTTAGCCTAAGCAGCACAAGAAGTACTACAAAGTAAAAGGAATAGATAGAGGAGTGAGTTGAATTCCTCCTTGATGGGGCAGAACAGGAAGGGAGAGGAAAAGGGACAACAGGACCAGTGATAGGTCCTACACAGGATGGAACTGTCCTTCCTTCTAGACTCTTTCTTCCAAGAAGATAAAAAATGGGTGAATCCTGGGAAGGGCGAGGACCTGCAGGTCCCTTGGTGAGCTTGGTGTATGAACCCACAGATAAGCCTTAGCCAGCCCCACGTGACCCATGAATGATACACTATTCAGCGCATGCCAGCTTCCCAAACTCTCCTGCCAAAGAGAGAATCAACTGAATTTGGGTAACCAGTTTTACAGATACCTGCTAATCTAAGTATATCCCAGTATAGAAATATTCCACTGATTTTAATGAATCTCCACAGGGAGCCTTAAGACCACTGTAAATACCCTTTAAGCTCTCTGGTCAACTGTTCATAGCAACTGAAGAATTACACAAGGCTAAGCAAACACTCTCACTAGCTCTTCAGTCTTGGCACTTGGGTGACAGATTTTTTCATTAATGCTTTTCACACATATACAAAAAATTCTACTTGGTAATCTATATTTTTTAAGCCTTTGTTAGATTTAAGTCAGAGTCAGCACAGCTCCAATATCACCACGAGAGCTTAAATAGTATAAAATCTTAAACAGCCAATAAATAGATATGCAGTTTTCACTCAATACAGGTTAACAGAACAATCCAAAGAGATGAAAAACCTTCATGAGCCTTCTATTTATGCTATTCCAACCATTTTTTTCCTCGTAATAACTCTAAACAACTTCTCTGGCAGCAGATACATGGGGTAGGAAGGAAAGCGTTTAGAAAGGTCGCAGAAATCTGTAACTATGACTCTGATGCTATTAATTCCTTCATGCAGATCTGCAGGGGGTGCAGTTGAGCACAGCACGGACATAGCTTCCTCCATGGCAGCAGCAGAGACCCCCCAGAGACATCACTCATGCCCTCCTCCTCACACAAAGCCCAATGTTTAGCCTTCAGGCAGGTCAGGAAATGTTTCTCAGAGTGTCATCTTCTGCAAACCCCAAATCAAATGACCATTTCGTGAAGATTACAATGCAAACATGTTCTTTTCGGGAAAAAAAAAAAAGAGCCAGAATTATTGAATTGGCACAAATATAAATAACATGTATTTGTTTTGCTTTTAAAGATATTTATGAACACTCTAAAATACCTCCAGAGTAATGAATTTCTCTTGGATGTGGATTTGTGGAGACTTTTCGCAAACTTAGAGGAGTTAAACAAGGTGAGTAAAGATATAAAAGTCTTACTGAAATCAGAAACCAACCAGCCCTATAAACAGAGACTAGAAACCATCCATAAAGCTTCTATTCAGATTCAATGCTCACATCTGGAATTTAGTTCAAATAATTAGTCTTTCCTCCATTTCTCTCTGGTATATCAGCAGGGGTCAAATTTCACCAGTGCAAATCATTCTCATGTGCCTCCATCAAAGGATAAACAGGCATCTGAACACAGAGGAAAGCTCATTTGACAGTTGTTTCTGAAGTAAACACAAGTTTCAGACTAATTCTTACAAGTAGCATCCTTTTAAAAGGATTTGTGAAGATAAAGTCTGACTAGGCAGTCCTTACAGCAAAACAGTAAGAATGGCAAAATAACTACAATAACAAGTTTCCTTTCGCAAACCGATGGGCACAAAGACTTTGCTATCTATCATACCACTCCAGTAGAGCAAGTTAAAACAAAATGAATACTGCCCCTCTTCAGCTGGGGTTTCCCTCGGTATGGGTGGAAGGATAACTTCCACACAGACTGGATGCTCTGTGTTCATGTGCTACTTACCCTCCAGCTTCCAAGAAGAGGAAAACCACGAAGCTCGGCTGTGATGCACTCCAGCTCTTTGCTGCTTATGGCCAGTGGCTTGGAGACCACTTTAATCCCCTAAAAGTTAAAGGAACTCATAAGTCCAAAATAGCATTTGCATAACTTTAGAAGAAAACCAGAAGCTTTTCATAGCTTGAGAACACTTTTACTGGATACCTCACCCTTAACAGCAAAGTGAATTTTGGAAAGGGCTCTTCAGCTGCAGAAGTTTAATGCTTGCTCACAATCACATCTTACACCCTAAACCAGTTGCTTACTTCAAGTCCTTTCTTTTATTGTAGTTCCCTTGCCTTCACAGTTAACATCTGCCCTTTTAGCCAAAACAAGAAAAGGAGGAGGGCTCTTCAGAGTAGGGACAATCAGCCAGAGCTCAAACACATGTGAGCAAATCACCTCTGCTCAGTGACTGACAACACACCAGGTGAGCTGGTGTAAGTGACCACCTGAGCAAGTTTGGAGATGCAAGGAAAGAGATTTTAGCTGATGTGTTTCACCTTGCACTTGCTGTGGGCGAAGACTATACATGCAGCCAACTACCAGAATTCAGTTGATATGTGTGGTTAACAATTCCTTCAATCTTGTTCAAAGAAGCGGGGTGTATTGCTGTGTGCCATTTAGCAACTACAAAGGCTTTGAGCTTGGCTGGAGCTTGGCCATGTCTTGAGAGAGTTATCTTCAATGCATTTTCTGTTTCATTTTCTAATTATGTTGTCCTTATTAATGAGGATGATAAATGACCATCTATTACTCATACACACATATAAAATAGTATAGGAGAAAGTAGCTCCTCTCAATGTCTTTTGTGCCTTTTTTAATGTATTTTACAGCATTCATTTCTTCTTGACAGCAGATTAAATCCATGAAAAAATGCATGCTGTAAAAAGTGTAAAACACACACTTGTCAAAATGAAAGAATAAGCATGATCCTACAAGCAACCCTGCCCCCATAAATACACCAAACAAAGCAGTGTGTGCAGCTACAACCGCAGTTCATAGCAGTACCACAGCGGATGGTGTTCCCTTCTGGCTCAAAATTTGGCCTAAAGCTGAGCCTGGACATGAGTTTGTGTGCAAATAGTGTGTTCAGGAGGCAAGCATGGGCTCAGGAGCAGGCTTTCACCCATATCTGACTGATTGTGTGGGCACCCTTGAATCCAGTGCAAACATATAAAGATAACTTATGTGGAATACATGATTTATTGTAGTGTTTTATGGAAGTTTCCTTCACCTCCAATAGCATGAAACAAACTCAACCTGTGAAGGACGGTATCTTCTTAAAATGACCATGAAGACTTCCTTAATTGTCACAGCTCTGTGATACACAATCAGTGTTTTCCAGTAGATACCATTCATTACCATAATTTTTCATGTCAAATCTTGTCAAATACAGCTGCTATCCTAAAATAAGTTTAAATGGAATAACTATTCTTGTTTCAAAGCTTTTGTCACATGACATTATCACGACAGAAGTGGGTATTTGTTTAGATTTGGTTTAGCTTCTGACTAATTAAAGCATTCTGGGCATAATTCTGAAGTTAATCCTGGCAATGTTGGGGAGACAAGTATAGGCATCCCTTTGTGCTTGGAGCCTTTGAAGAGCCCAGGAATGGGAGATAAAGTTGTTTTAAACTTAATTTCAGAAGATCACTGATGCTAATTTCTCTAGGGTTTTTTTCCTTTCCTTAGATAAGTCTCAGTTTTCTGAAAACTTTTTTTGAAACTGTGAAGGAACATGTCAGCAAGTCAGACTCTCCTATGGATTTCAGCTCCATACTCAGAAAGGTAACATAATTAGAAGTGTTCTTGCTTAATTTTAGCAGGTCCTTGCAGCAGGTCATTTATCATTGCATGCAGGTGCTTTAGAGCCATCATCTCAATCAAGAACATGCTGTCTGTCACCGGCAGTTTGGTCTCACTGTCAATATAATATTTTTCTTTTTATTCATTGCCATGTTTGAGGTAGTCGTGGAAAGGTGCTCTGTATGTGGGACAAAGTGTGGAAGGATTTTCCCTTCCTGGGGAACAGTAGCCCAGAACTTGAGGAGACTTTGCCACTGGCAGAGGCGAGCTTCTTGCTTTATGGAAGAAGTCTCCCTGAGACCAGACCCCAGGCCCATCGCTGGATGTTTTCTGCGTATTTCCACTCCATTGCATAGATCCTTCCTTTACTCCATGGACCAGACCCACAAGTGTATTTAAGTGCTTAATTAAGATCTCAGTGGGACTGAAATACCTCTTGTAGCCTGTGTCTGCTAAGTGAGAGTCAGGCACCAACACAAGTGTCCTGCAGTCTGCATGGTAAACCAGGCAGTTGTCCAAACAGCTCTCTCCAGGGGCTCCGCTTCCTGCACAACTTCCCAATGACTGAAAAGTTGGAAATATTAATACAGACAGAAAATCAATTCATGGACCTGAACTTTCTCTAACAGTAGAGGCTGTTAGAAAACTTCTGGGAAAATACTAAAATAGACCCTACCTCAGGGTTAGGATTTTAAAAAGGGCTAGAGCTTGGCTTCTCACCCCCATTACCTCTGACTTCAAGCATTCTTATTGATAATGTTTTTATGAGACAGACAAAATCCCAGACAAAACTGAGTCTTATCACGGATGGCATTCAACATTTGTAAGAGATTATCTAACACACTCGGATATGAAGTGACATGCTATGTGAGGCCATGTAAAGCTGTTGCATAGATAGTAATTTTTATCTTCAGCTTCTACATGAATTTCACATCATTTATTTCTAATGACAACAAAGTCTAGGAATGCTTCACACCTCTGCAGAGCTGATAGAATGGTGCTCCCATGTATTGCTTGAGCATGGTTGTGGGATTTTTTCTACTTTACCGCTTTTACTAATTTTAACTTGCCCTTAACTTTTTAACTCTCCCTTTCCTTTTTGCCCTGTTTCACTAGATACAAGAAAATCTTTGTTAAAATGCACATTACAAAACCAAAACTGTTGTTTCTCTCTTTGTCATGACATTTTTCTTTCTTGATAAGTTTCCAAGTGTTTTGTGCAGTTTTTCCAGGGTGACCTCTGCCAGACACACCAGATTTATTGCCTTAATTACACCTCCGCTGTCTTCTACTTGGAAAACTTGAGACAGAGGGAAGATTTTGGCATCTACCTGAAAGTAAAGTGATAGTCTTGTTGTTGTTGTTGTTGTTGTTGTTGTTGTTGTTGTTGTCCTCAGCCTTCCTGTCTTAAGACAGGATTTTAACAGCTGCAGACTAGGAAACTCATTGGAAGCAAAACTATTTAGATAGCATTTTACACAGATTTTTTGAACTGCAGCGGATGTCATAGATACAAAGTCACCCTTCTGAGTGTATGTTCCCCTGCACATGTGAAAGTCTACACTTGTAATTTAGAACAGGCAAGTGGGGGAAGCCAAAAGGGAACAACTGGCTGCATTTTTGCAGGCAGAAAATATGTACTGCCAGCCTCTATCATTCAGATTTTAGCATGTAATTTCTTAACTTGGTGACCTCCACTTTAGCAATGTGAAATGGTTACAGAAAAAAAGAAAAAAAAAGTCAAGCCGCATTGTAAAATCTCTCTCAAGTGTTTTTTTTACTTTGATACATGTCCTGCATATCAGCTTGGGTTAGATGTTGGATGGGAACACAGTATGCAGGGTATTACGTGCTTTAGCAGACAACAGGGCTCACATCCCCTGAGTAAAAAAGAGCCCCCAGCCTCTATGCTATGCCACATCAGCAGTGACATGCACAAGCCTGAAAGATGGAGAAGTGTGTGGTGGTTTCCCTCTGCTTAAGGAAAGGCGTATATGATACAAGGCAAAACAAGGGGAATAGAAACCGAGGAGCATGTCAGTGCTTTCATGTGACTTGGGATCGTGCCATGAAAGAGCAGATTTTGGCTGAGCCCTGGCAAGAAAGCTGGGCTGCTTTCCTCATTCATGGGCATTAGCTGACCCATGTGCCCACAGGGAGGAAGTAGCATCTGGGGCAGAACAGCAAGCAACCCCTCTGCAATGGCAGTGTTTGGGCTCCTCTGACGGGTTTTGCTGAACCATAGATAAAGCAGACATAGAGCATGGTATCAAAACACTACCCGTAAGGAAGCATTTGCCTCCCTCTAAGGCTGGAAAGAGCTATCAGTGAAGTCTTTGTAAAGTTACAGCACTAAAGCAGGTTCTGTCTTTGCTGACACCGCATCTGTCCAAAGCGACAACTCTGGCCAGCACAATGATGGAGATCCCAGGGAGAGGGCTCTGCTCTTACCATTAGCAGGCCAATGTGTCTTGTAAATACTTAAGATTGATCTACAGTGTTACGAGCTTAGAAAGAGAAACCTGACGAAGGGAGCTTTTCTTACAAGCAGCCCAAAACTGGGAGGACACCCCTTTGTAACAGCCAAACTCTGCAGCTTTTAGGGCCCTGGGAGTTTCACACCACTTGCTCCCTGACAAGGATTTCATACACTCATGCCTAGGAAAAAGGTCCTGTGTGGGAAGTTGCAGGTGACCTTAAAACATAAGGTGGTCCTCAAATGTAACTGAGGTTTTCCTGATGCAGTTAAAATGGCAGATAAATAAGAGCACTGCTTGATATGCTAGCATGGCCACAGCATCTGAACTAGGAAGCAGCAATGCAGAAAGTGAATCTGGAGGAGCAATGCAATTCCCCCTGCAGAGAGCCTTTACGGTGCCCTTGCTCTCACTGTGTGAGAAGCTCACCTTCAATTAGTCCCTGCCTCATTACAGTCAGCTGATGATGCAGAAAACTGTTTGCTACCTCCCGGCCAGCGTGCAAGCTGAGGCCTGAGGCAGGTTTTCCTTGTCTTCGGCAGTGGTGTGAACAAAACGAACAGTGCAAGAGGCTGCATCTGCCGGAGCTGCTGGTTGCTCCTTTGCATCGACTGACACGCTATCCCCTCCTCCTTAACAACATCTGGAAGAGGAGCACCCACGAAACAGAGAAAGGCTTTATCTGGTCACTTAAAGAGAAGGTGGAAAGGTCCATACGTAAGTAGCTAAGGTTAAAAGTCAAGCGTGCAATTAACAAGAAGCAAGTTATGTGGTCTTTTTGTGCATGTCCTTGGAGTGTGAATGGGTCCGGTCTCCCTGCAGAGATGCAGTGAGGATGTGCATGCCTTTCTACAATTCTGAGTTCTTCCTCATTCTGTAGGAAATGATTGGTGCCACCCTTGAGCTGTCAAAGCCTCTCTGAGCAAGGTCACAAGACTCCCAAATCAGCGAGTCATTTGTATTTGCTCAGAACCATCTGCAGTGACATGCAAACAATTAAGAGCAGATCACAAATTGGAACAAATTAAGAAAGATCTCAAACAAAGAAGTCTTTGAGTTGGATTTATGTCTAAGGAGGATTTGTTTGGGCTAATCCTTAATAGGATAAAATTGCACTCACAAGGGGAATATTATGTCAGTGACCTTTTACTAAATGACAGGGTCCTACTATGTAAAGTAGCTGAAGAGCACTGAAGAGAGATCTCAGCTACAGATTTTCTCTAGCTCTTGTGGAAAAAGAAGGGGTTGGTCCAGGAACATTTTTTTGTTTTAAGTAAACAATTTATTAATTCTGTCTTGTTCAAGAAGCTATAAATGCATCTGTAAGCATTTTATGGTCATACAGTACATCAGCCGATAGGTTTATTCCCCAAAGGCCTCATGCAGCCCCCACTGAAACCAAAGACAAGACAGTGCATCAGCAAAACACTTCTCTTGGCAGGGAGAGGTGCCAGGCAAGCTCTTCATCCAGCAGCACACCAGGGCCTTGAGCCACCCAGCATGGTGGCTCGCTCTCTGTCGCCATCCTTCTCAATGTCCTGGAGTCTGAAGGCTCCAATATCTCCTTGGGAGATGAGGCAGAGAGTTAATGTCTTCTAGAAACACAGACAAAAATTGTGGCTCCTTCTTCTTGGGTAAATACTCCAATGACAGAATTACCACCTAAAAGAGACACTGGGGTTCTTTCTCTTCTTGCCAAGTCCTAATAAGGAGCCTAGCCTAATGACCACATCAGGAGCACACTTTTTGGCACAGAATGGGTCCCATTGGAAAATAAGATGCTTTTGTTGCTAGTCTGGGGACCTCTGCTGGGAGGACAGTACTTTTAGCTACGGCCCCAAAAGACCGTGGGATATCTGGGGAATACTACTGGCAAAGAAATAGGTCCTTCCAGAGTTTAGATACCTCTGGGCCAAGGAAACCACACATAGAGGGCTGATCTCCCTTCTTTCACAAACACCTGACAAAGATTTGCCTTCATATTTTGATCAGTGAATCAGTGACATAAGGAACAGTTGCAGTCACAGCATTCCCCTTCAGGTGCATACGTGTGTGTGTGTGTGTCTGAAACCATTATTTGCAATAACACTCAACACATGAGTTTTGAATTTAAGTTGCACGTCCATTAAGATTTTCCCCATAATGTCCCTGAATCAGCAAAAGCTTAGTCCCCATTTTTCACATTCTGAGGCACCCTCCTCCCAACTGAATACTTCAGCCACTTTTGGCACCTCTGCCCCCGAAATGAATGCTCATTAATTTCACCAGTCTATTGACCAGGCTTTATATAATGAAAATTATTTTTCTCTCACTACCCTAGGCAGTTTAGAAAGGCAGGATTTTTTTAAAGAACTTTTTAAGATTACAGTTTAGTTTTTATATGATTCCCCCTCTTCCCCAGTCAGATTAGTAAACACAACGCTTGCATTTAGAAGTGAATTTAAGCCTGTTTGAATGTATGGTTTGAAATTCTGGCTCTGCTAACCTAAGCAGAATTCAGTCATTTTTTACAATGAGGCCAAGATTTCATCTGGGGCTTCACAGGTGAGGTGCTCTGGCTTCCGCTGGAGAAAATCAGTATTCAGCATTTTCTAGAAACAGGACTGTTTTTTCCAGCCTTGGCAGTAACTGATGTTTCACATATTTCAGGGGATCTAGAGGGTAAAGTCAAGTGGTTGGACAACTTTCAAAAGTTCAGGCAACTGCAAGAGGTCATAGTTTGGCCTCAAATCTGGGATCGTGACAAGAGATTCTTTGTCCCAGAGGTAAGCATTTTTTTAAAGGTCATTTTTCCTTGAGGAAGGTGTAATTTCCTAACGTGGTCTAAAGTTGGCTGGTTGTCTATACTCCAGTTACTAGGGGTGGTTCTGCTCTAACAGGAGCAGCTGCAGCCTGAGCACCACAAAAGCTGCAGGTGAACGCGCAGGCTGAGCACAGTGCCTTGGATGGCAGCAGAGGTTGCTCTCACCTAGCATCCAAGAGAGTACGATCCTATGACCCAGGAGGACTCTCCAGTGTTTGCTTTTAGGGGGCAGAATGAAATGGGATGCATGGAAGTATTACAGCCTTTTTATGAGGAGCATATGAAGTAGAAATTATTTGCCTCTTTCGCTCCTCAAGCCGAGGTATTTACATTTAAATACCACTACAAAAAAGCACATAGCATACCTGGGAACATTGCCCCCTTACCCATACAGACAGACTTTAAGCAGCATTATGGTAACACCATCAAGTGGGTCTCGCCTCAAGGATTATGTCTGTTCACACAGTTCTGTAAGAACCGTTAAACTCACTCCAGCCAGCAAAGAAAAACTCATCTTAACATTTCAAAAGCGTAAACAATTTAAGCAATAGCACTACTGAAGTAACACAGCCGTGCTCAGTTATTAACTGTGTGATGTATTCAGCCTGAGACAAGAGTACACATGTGCTCAGTTTGTTGAACTGCTCGTTGCCTCCCAGTTCATCATCAGATATGCACAATTCCCCCTTCTCTCTCTCTCTCTTTTTTGGGTCAAGTGTTTGAAGCAAAGCTTAAGAGAAAACAACAGTGAAAACATTTTGTCTTCAGCGAACAGACTTCTCCTTCATGAAGGCAGGCTAACATTAGCAGGTAACATCCCTAAATGTCCTGGTATCAGGAGTTGGCTTAACAGAATCATATTTTATTATGGCAAGTCCAGAATGAACCTCTGCAACAGTATTTGGGCAGGTGCAGGAAAGAAAAAAGCAGATGTGCAGCTTGTCAGAGAGAGACTGAGAAGCAGCCAAACCACCAAAAGGATGAGTAAACTGCATGATTGTTTATTGTCACATCTGGGTATTCGGTCTGCCAGGTATTGGAGAAGTCAGCTTGAGTGGCCAATACCTATAATTTAAAGGGGCAGTATTACTGTCGCGTTCAAGAATGCAGCAACAGGAAAACAGGAATTTTAGACTATTCTATACAAGGTGCCCCACATGCCTGGGGGCTAGTGTCAACACACCTCACCTCTCTGACACCACATCCACTATGAGTTTCATTGAAAATTACTGAAAAGTCCAGTAGTGTTATCTATTTTTCTTTCACACTTTCTCTCTGCTAAGACTGCTGTTCTGATGGATACCTTGGAACAGGCAGGTGTTATCCTGCCGGGTGGCTTCCCTTTTACCAACAGAGCACTCATACTGCACGCCGTCAACTCCACAGGTAGCACAGTGGTCCCGCACGAGCACACCAATTTCTACAGCACTGCTCGCAGCTGTCTATCACCTTGGCAGGGCGGACACTCACATCTGCCGACATTCTTTTGTAGCAAGGTACAGGTTGCTTGCTGGGGGGCTGCTGCAGAATCTCTACCTGGGCAGGAGAGGAGGGTTTCCAGGAAGCAGAGCCTGGACAGTTTGGAGAAGACCAGCATCTGAAAGGACGCTGGAAGCCATGTGTGTGCCATGGTGGCTGCAGGGCTGTAGCAATGGTTTGATGGAAATGGGCGCAGCCCGTGTCTCACACTTCCTTCACCACCTCCTCAGGAGCAGAGATGCAAAGAATAAGCACCCAGCACTTTCTGCCTCCTGCCACCATCATTACTGTTAAACAGGGAGCAGCAATAGGCACACGGTCCATTTTTCAGTGTTTTTGTTTTCCTTCCCACGCGAGGAGAAATAGTAGCAGAGGAGAAGGCACAACGCCAGGGAAAGCAGAAGAAAAGCTTGCTGCTGATGTTTAGAGGGTGGCGAGCAGAGGACGAAGAAAGCCATGAAGTCCTCTCCTGGCAATGCTTTCCTCTGCATTCATTGCCCTCTTGATGAGACACCAGCCCCCAGTGCAGGAGGTAAGGGTGGCCATGAGGGGTCCACATTTCTTTCTGCAATAAGTAACTAGAAAATGCGAAAGGAGGTATGAGCATAACTCTTACCCACCAAGACAGTCAGCTGCCTGCAATCTGCAATATAAAAGAGCCTGGCATTTGGCCACTTGTCTGAATGAAATATCTTTCAAGACAAAAATGAAATCACAAGTCAAATATCATGACACACAACAGAAAGAAGCATGTCCAAACTCATAACTCTGAACACACTTCCACAAGTTTGGTGCTAAGTCAAACTGTCCTTGCTTGAATGAAACTGAGATCACTGAGACCACAACTGAATGTTTTTTTTTTAAAATCCTGTAGCTGAGAGAAGTGGGTTTGCTCAAATGTTGGAAGGGAAGGCTCAGGGAGGACATAACGGTTGTCTTCGACTGCCTAATGGCAGGTTTAGGGCAGTCGGAGCTAAAGGCTGACATAAAAACGCAAGCTGTAGCATGGGGTATTCCCCCGTTAGATATTTGGAACAACATGTTCAGAGTTAGGTTATTCAAATATTGACATAGGGGACCAGAGAGGTTGCAGAGTCTCCTTTCTTGGACACATTCAAAACCTGACTGAACGACCTGCTCTAGCTTGGCCTGCTTGCAGCAGTGGGTTGGATCAGAGACCTTCTTGCAGGAAGCTGTTTAAAATACACTCTTGCTTTTCTTAACTTGCTCCTTATTGTCTAGTATAATAATACTTGATTTTTCAGCATGGCTTGGAGATCAACCTGAAAGATTTTGACACATTCTCACAGACATTTGTTGTTCTGTTCCTCACATCCTCATGACCTCTATGCTAGGAAGAACAGATAAGCCAACACTACTTCATGTAGTTTTTTTAAAGGCTTTTGTGATGCCAGCAGTTAACATTTAATGGCTGCAAAAGCCTGTAAAGAGAGCAGCATACCAGTATTTAAAGGTACTAGGAAAAGGTGGCACTTCCCGATTTCTTTATCTCTGCCATCTTTAGAAGGTTCACTGTTTACCAGGTAGGATTTGCCAATTTATAGTATGCTGATTGTTGTATTCATAGGTACTCCAGGTGATCCAGGTCACTTCTCTTAGAAGGCAAGTAGTTGTTTTTTTCATAAAGAGGTAGCTGCTAGAAGGTACAAGTATTAGTAGCCAAAATCATCAAAAGACATAGGATTTTTTAAGCGCTGCATTTGAGAGTGCAGACTAGGGGATGAGTAGTTGTGTACTATGTTGGAAACCATGCTTCTTTGTTAAAAGCATTTTGTAAGATGCGGTGGTTCATAGATGTGCCTCATCTTAGAAGTAGAAATTCCTTAAAATAATCACACCAGCAAATTGATTTTTTTGTTTTCCTCCACAGAAAGCACAAGACTCCTTGAGGTCTACCTCTTCCTATTCGATGATTTCCTATTAATTACCAAAACTAAACATAACAAAAAGGTAATAATGGATAGAGATATACATGGTTGTGGTTGTTATGTTTTTAGCTTGGTAAATATATTGAATGTACTTTGGAAGATTGATCTACTGATAAAAATACAAGATGACTAATCAGCATGAAGGATGGATGATACTTCCTTATGCTAACAGCAAACCATAATACTGATTCAAAATCCTGCTTCTTTGCT